TTTAGACTAATAATTTCCCCATAATCTCCAAACTGTTCCCTTTTAATTGCTACCATAGTTATGCACATGCTTTTCATATTTCTTCTGTAAGAAACATTTCAATTTAGCCCTATCCATATAGGCCAATTCCCATTAGTGTAAGGGGTTAAGACGCACACTTCAATGGCAGTGGTCTGAGTTGATAGAGGGGTGAGATGCGTTCTACAAGAGTAAGGTTTAGAGCAGTAACAGGAGTCTCACTCTCTCATCGCTCAATGCTCTGACAAAGGATTTGAGACCCAAAACTATTTATACTCTTCCAGTGCACTCTCAACCAAACATTTGACTGAATTATACTTTATACACTCTCAAGAGGCTCAAAGCGTAGGAAAAATATGTTATATAAGTTATGCTAAGTGCCGTGTGCAGGAGCTTATTTTACACCCTCCCTCCCTCTCAACCAAACATTTAATTTTCAACTATACACTTTACACTCTCACCAAACATTTAATTTTGAACTATACACTTTACACTCTCAACCAAACATTTAATTTTGAACTGTACAGTTTACACTCTCAACCAAACGTTATGACTAGCAGCGTGCTGTGTCCCTCGAGAGACATTCCTGTTTGTTTATCCAACGTTGGATGAACGTTAGATCCTCGTCTGAGTGGCCGAGCCCTCCCGGTATTCCTAACACAGAGGACCCGGCCACCCCGCGGGATCGCCTTACGGTTCCCGTCGAGTCCGCTTGGTTTGAAACTCAACCCCCCTGCACCGCCAGGCCCTCCTGTGGATCTGTGTGTGTGCTGGAGGTCTCAATTCTGTTTCAGTTATTTCGTTTGACCGTTAAATGTAAGCCACTGTGTATTTCTGTTTGCGTACTGTTGTCATGTATACTGCATTGTAGTTAAGCCCTATATTTAATTTGACTCTGCATATCAATACTACTACTAAAGATAAATGAAGATATCAGCAGTGCTTGTATCAGGAGTGAGTTGCTGCGGTATAGACCTAGGCTATGAATGCAAATTATTATGTTATAATAATTTTTAACTTAATATTCAAGTGTACTATAACAAAATCACGAAAGTCTCAAACCATACCGTAGACTAGTTGACAGAGTTTAGCTGACAGAGTGTCTGTTGACTATTATATATTTCTAAACAGACCACCAAAGTCACATTACTATAGGCAGCCCTGCAAGGCTTGCATTTTGCTGGGGAAAATAAAACCTCCATCTGTTGGGTTGCTGGTAGTTGGGACAGCTGTAGAGTTTATAGGGGCTAACATTAGCACATGTATACAAGGTTTTCCACTGACATGATAAAAGGCCTCGTAAATAAAACAGTGTCAAATGGATCCATAGGTTTCTGTCTAGCCTGGTCCCACATCTGTTTGTGCTTGCCAACTTGGTAAGACAGAACAGACACATCGGGAACCAGGCTCGTTTTTTGTAGGAGTTCCACAATTCACATCAAATGCTTTTAAATCTCCAATAAAAGTTATTGCCTAACAACAGTTGACAATGATAAAAGTTGTTGCCTAACGACAGTTGACAATGGTGACATGTTTGTTGGTGCAATAGGTATCAGTGTGTTGTTCAAAGGAAGAAATGTGAACATGTTTATAGTGGAAAGGGACGTAGGCCTATTCCAAGTTGTCAGTTTGAATCAAAATATTGATAAAGCACACAAGCAGACACGCAAAAAAAATTACATGATGGGACTTGAGCGCCATATTTTCTTGCTATGGAAGGCTATCACTCGATCCAGTGACATAAAAATACATTTTTTTTCCTCAATTAATTCCACAGATATAATGGCCACCTATAAATGTCACTCTGAAATAGCCCGACAAGCCGTCGTGGCGATACTCTACACCTCAAGTAAACCCAAGTAAGACCTCACATCAAAAAGTATGCTGCCAGACACACACACACACGGATGCGCACAGACACACACACATAGACGGATGCACGCACACACATCACCCCTCTCCTCACTTCCTCTCCTGATGGAGAGGGCGTATTGGTCACCTTTTAAAGGACCCACGTGGCACATTTACACCTCCAAGCCAAGGTGCCCTGTCATATGGTGTAACAGGGTGTAACAACTGTTTCTTACATGTACCACATGGCACAAATAATATAATATAACAGAATAAAATAGAATGGATCTTTGGTGAAAAGGGATTAATGAAAACTTTTAAAAAGCTATACTGAAAATGAAATAACATAAGAAAAAATATCTATTAATACTCCATATAAATTAATACCAAAAATTCAACAATTGCATGTATAAACCGTTATTATCTGTCCAAAGCCTACAGGGTTTTTGTAACTGTGTAACTACATATTCACGTACGGTTGCGATTTAATCCCCATTAGACCCGTTTTATCACTAAAGAGAAAGCAGAAATCTGGTCATTTAATTTCACGTGTTTACAAGCCAGGCATTTTAATTACATAGTTTGTAGGAGATATCAGTTTGAAATCAAATCAACACAAATAAAAATACTCAAAATGAATATACAAAAAGCAACAAAAACAAACAGTGATTATGAAAATATATCTTGCCAAAGCCAATGTATTTTTTTGCAGCTTTGCACTGAAGAGTCCTCGCATATGCTTGTGATAAAGTCCATTAGACCCGTTTTATCACTAAAGAGAAAGTTTAAATCTGTTAATTTCACACACATGTTTTCAAGCCAGGCATTTAATTACATAGTTTGCCGGAGATATCAGTTTCAATGGATTTAAGTTGTCAAGCAAAGACAAAAACTGCTGTCTGGATCCACAGCTGTCAACAAGGCCTTTCGCTGGTCCGTTCTTATTTACTGACACAACACACAACACCATCCGCCACCACAGCTTAGAGATAATAACAGCTGAAACACAGAGAGATATGGATGGAAGCCATTGGTCAAACTATAATAATATGCTATTTAGCAGACGCTTTTATCCAAAGCCACTTACAGTCATGTGTGCATACATTTTTACGTATGGGTGGTCCCGGGGATCGAACCCACTACCCTGGCGTTACAAGCGCCATGCTCTACCAACTGAGCTACAGAGGATTAAAACAAGTGTGCACATCTCAGTCAATATGGTACATCTGATTTAGTTCTTGAAATAAAAAATATACTCTATTTAAAAATACATAAAAGAAGTAGAACTGACTGGAGAAACACTGCCTTACATCAAGAAAAATACACCTTGGCACCAAGACATAGCCTATTCTGTGCCCCCACGATGGGCCCCCATGTTGTGCCCTTCCTCTGCCATGCTCTCTCTGGGCACAGAGGCAAGCCAGGGCAGAGGTGGAACAAGGTGACATGTCTAACCAGCTTTCTCACAGACACACAACACATCACAAACCACATAAACAATATGTTGATTAAATATGTAGGAATAGACATATTCAATCCAATTATATTAATAACTTTAAGAGCAGAGACTGTGCGCCAAAGATGGTGGATATATAAAAATACTTCACTCAGGCCATTTACCATTGAAAAAAACGGTCAGTTCCTGTCTACTTAATCTGTGATAGCAGCTGGGTCTACTTAGTTCATTGACTTCCATTGAAACAGAAAAGATTAGGGAGTGGGATGTCTCTCTTCCTCTTCCGTCTCTGCTGTGCGCAAAGTAGAGAATCCCGCACATGCGCAGAAGCTTCAGACCTTTAGTTGTCGGGAAGAAGGTTCGAGAAAACATGGCTCTGCAGCCACTCCATAACTTTAATTAATAAGCCATACTAAATACTTATTAGTGCTTTATAAATTATTGTAATGAATATAATGCTTATAATTTGTAATGCTTATCAATGTTTATAAATGCACTATTAATATTAATTTTTAACTTATAAATAGTTGATTCATGCTGACTAGTTAAATTAAAGTAATATACTTTATTAATAAGTTATTATAAAGTGTTACTATAAAATCAATCTGTCATTCTGCCCAAATGTACTATATGTATTTCACAAAAGCACGTATTTACTAATGTTGATATATACAAAAGCCAAAACATTGACCTTTAAATGGTTTAATCATGCTTACTAATGAAAGTTATTGTAAAGCGTTACCCAAAACTACAATCCTTATATCTCATTCAGTAGGGATTTACAGTATGTGTTTCACAGCAGCATTCTTACTAATCTTGATAAGCGAAAGCCAAACATTTGTCTGACCTTTTACAAGTTTAAGTACCCCAAACTGTACAATCTGTGGTTGTAGCCTACACGTATTTACATTCACACACAGCAGTAGCACATATCCCCTAATCTTAATAAGCGAAAGCCAAAACATTTGTCTGACCTTTGACCCAGGTGGGAGTTGGGTAAATCCAGCCCCTGACATGGGATAGGTCCTCATGGCTGCAGCTGGTAGGTTAGCTCCGGATGATACATCTGGATAAATATGGAGGAAACAGGAACAACAGGACCATGAAACACATGGGATGGACTGAAGTTTATGTTGTGTTAATTCTTGACTGTGAAGAAACCAGAAAATCACAATTACCTATGTTTAAATGTTGTCATCTTATCCTACTTTTGCTTGCTATGTTTGTATCATGGCTGTTCTTGAAATTAAAGGACCAGTCTACTTCACAAGCTCACCTTAAAAAATAAATAAAAATACATCTTGGCTCTGATAAGAAAATACCAGATTTCTATTAAAAGAAGGTGTACTCTCAAAATACATTAATCTTTACTGAGAAAAAACTATAAACCCCAGACAAATAGTGTAAAAATACATCAACAAGTTGCACAATTATTAATAGTAATTTACATAAATATTAAACGTTTTATTGGTGTTTTATAAGTACTATATTGAGATGATATCAACACATGTACACTGAAGTTATCCCCATCTGCTCCCTACTCCCTAGATCGAAATATCCAAAACGAGACCCATGCCATGCACCCTGCAGTCTAAAAATAGCATCAGTTCCACCCCCATCTACCACATATCTATCACATATTTCCCCTCTTAAAAACACCACAACATTGACCTCCAACCTCCAACCCGAGGTCTTTGAGACACACACACACACACACACACTCCAACCTACCTTGATTGGCGGTGGAAGAGTAAGCCATGGAGTTATTCACTCCGACGTTGTTTAAGCATCCTTCAGACGACCCGGCAGGACCGTAGTGGACAGCTCCGGCTGTGATGATAGCACTGCAGACAGAACGGGACGCAACAAGAGGCTTGTTTTAGTTTCCTGACTAACTGACTGAGTGATCTGGCTACCTGCCCCTGTGCTGCTCTGTCCTTCCTGGCTAGTCTATCTGGCTGACTAACTAAATGTATGAAAGAAAATTCAATAAAGAATGTTGCACACTCTATATACAGTATATCCCAATGATTTAATGGGTATTAATTACACCAATGTTTCGGGCATAATGCACCTTCTGCAGGGACGCTACGGGAGACTAGTTTTAGATTTCTGACAGACTGACTGACTACCCTCCCCTCGACTGTCCGTGCCTGGCTGTTGCTATATCTTGTGACGGGGGAGTCTCATATTCATAAGCCATTAAGGCTGTATATGGAACATAAGTGTAAAATCAAATGCCTCGGCTGTCCGGGGATATTTACTTTGGGAATAGAATAGCTGTGTAGGACAGGTCAGCCATAATGGAGGAGATCAGATTAAGGTGAAGACATGACTTAATGGTCACAAGAATATGACGATTAAATGTACAAAACAAGGTCAGAAACTAATACATTTGGGCTGAGAAGCTGCCAAATAACGTATTAAACTTACACTGGAGCTTGTTACACAAACTTACAAAATAAGGTCAGAAACTAATTCATTAAGTAACTTATAAAGCATTTTATAAAACATGTATAAACACATATAATGGCTTAATCATAAGTTATTACAATTTTGTAGCCCATATCTGACTGAAAGGTACCCTAAGAACGTAGCAAACTTTCAGTGAAGAACATGCTACATGCTAAGAACATGCTACACAACCTTTGAAAACAAGATCAATATGTAAGACATTTAGGAAAAGTTTTTGATAATACGTTACAATAAGGTACACTTTCTAAAGCGTTTCTAATTATGTTATTAATGATTTATAATGCATTTACCAATGATTAAATAACCATTAATGATGTAGTTATAAACCCTTTAAAAACCCTATTGTAAAGTGTTACAGAGTTTTTTGCCTATCTGACTGAAAATACTTCTCAAACCCACAGTGGAGCACATGTTACACAAAATGTCAAAACAAGATCTAAACAGAACACCTTTAAGAAATAGTTTTAGCCTATACTGTATCTAACTGAAAGGCACCCTCAACACTGTATTTCGCAACCCACAGTATGAGAGGAACCCGTTACACATGACTCATTTGTTGTCAGTCCCTCCCTATTCCTAGACAAGAAGCAGCAAAACCGTTTCTAGATCACACAGAAGCCTATCAACGTGCTGTCTAATCGATTTGACCTCACTATAACTCATAACTCACCCTTCAGAGTACAGCAAGCGGTTCTGCAGGTGTAGTTTACCTTTCACGTGCTGGTCCCAGTCCTGAAAACACACATCCAACCAGACCCAGTCAGATAGATAGACTCTGACTCACTGAACGCTAACCCCTACCTCAGTGCACCCCCCTTGAGCACCACGACATGCCCCCTGTGTGTCTGGCCCTGATGATGGGTGGCTGGACTATAATTAAAGGGGCAACGACTTGGAGCGGTGAGCAACGGCTTCTGGAGCAGCTACAGTTAGCCTGGTCCCAGATCTGTTTATGCTGTATAGTCAACTTGTCGTGCCAATGGGATGTAGGAGTCCCAAATGAGTAGGCTAGACTGCACAAACAGATCTGGGACCAGGCAAACTGTAGTTGGCTCTGTGGTATTGTATTATGACAGCCTGCATCCTACAGTAAAAAAAACATAGCATTTTCACACTATTATGGCAACATTAATGACCCATACTCACTATTGTGTTACTAAATACTCTTATTACCCTTTTCACACTACCAGGCCAATCCAAGCCATACTGTGCCGAGCTGTACCTGGTTAAGCTTCCACCACATTTGCTGGAGGAACTGCGCTGGAAATGACAATGTGCAAAGAAAATATCCCAACCAGTACAGTATGGTTCAGGTTGGCATGGTAGTGTGAAAAGGGTAGTTGGCTTTGTGATGTAATGATGTTACAGCCTGCACACTACAGTAAAACGAAGTTGTTCCTCACACCCCCATTCGAAGAAGAGGCCATTCACAGTTCACTTCACACACACTAATGAACTAGTTGTTGAGCAAAGGATCTATTACAGAGCTTAACAGTAGAAAGAGCAAGATGCTAAAGGGATTGAGTTCAATATTCACACCATATAATTAGGAATTAGAATACTAGAATCGACTTGAACCTTCTTATGATAGGATAAAGGTCAGCCATTTTGGTCAGGAAGTTGATCAACCATGGTTTGCCAGTGCTGTGATAAGATATTATGTAAAATAATGAATTTGATGAATTTATCTGCACTGTATGTTTATTAGCAAGCTAGCCAGACAGCTTTAGAGGAATGATTCTAATATTTCATTTTTTTAATGAACTTCCAATATACCAACAAACAATGCAGTCAATCCACAGCCATACACTGGTTGAAATCAGTTGATGATAGGACTTAGACAAGTTGTAAATGCAACAAGAACTGATATTGTATCATATAACAGCTCTCACAGCTTTCCAAGAAAACTCAAATAAATATACATTTATGGTCTGTTTACATATATTTTAGAGGCTATTTATACAGACAATTGGTATAAAACCTGTATAAGCTGTCTTTATAATTACAGTGGGGGAAAAAAGTATTTAGTCAGCCACCAATTGTGCAAGTTCTCCCACTTAAAAAGATGAGAGAGGCCTGTAATTTTCATCATAGGTACACGTCAACTATGACAGACAAATTGAGAGAGAAAAAAATCCAGAAAATCACATTGTAGGATTTTTTATGAATTTATTTGCAAATTATGGTGGAAAATAAGTATTTGGTCACCTACAAACAAGCAAGATTTCTGGCTCTCACAGACCTGTAACTTATTCTTTAAGAGGCTCCTCTGTCCTCCACTCATTACCTGTATTAATGGCACCTGTTTGAACTTGTTATCAGTATAAAAGACACCTGTCCACAACCTCAAACAGTCACACTCCAAACTCCACTGTGGCCAAGACCAAAGAGCTGTCAAAGGACACCAGAAACAAAATTGTAGACCTGAATCAGGCTGGGAAAACTGAATCTGCAATAGGTAAGCAGCTTGGTTTGAAGAAATCAACTGTGGGAGCAATTATTAGGAAATGGAAGACATACAAGACCACTAATAATCTCCCTCGATCTGGGGCTCCACGCAAGATCTCACCCCGTGGGGTCAAAATGATCACAAGAACGGTGAGCAAAAATCCCAGAACCACACGGGGGGACCTAGTGAATGACCTGCAGAGAGCTGGGACCAAAGTAACAAAGCCTACCATCAGTAACACACTACGCCGCCAGGGACTCAAATCCTGCAGTGCAAGACGTGTCCCCCTGCTTAAGCCAGTACATGTCCAGGCCCGCCTGAAGTTTGCTAGAATGCATTTGGATGATCCAGAAGAGGATTGGGAGAATGTCATATGGTCAGATGAAACCAAAATATAACTTTTTGGTAAAAACTCAACTCGTCGTGTTTGGAGGACAAGAATGCTGAGTTGCATCCAAAGAACACCATACCTACTGTGAAGCATGGGGGTGGAAACATCATGCTTTGGGGCTGTTTTTCTGCAAAGGGACCAGGACGACTGATCCGTTTAAAGGAAAGAATGAATGGGGCCATGTATCGTGAGATTTTAGTGAAAACCTCCTTCCATCAGCAAGGGCATTGAAGATGAAACGTGGCTGGGTCTTTCAGCATGACAATGATCCCAAACACACCGCCCGGGCAACGAAGGAGTGGCTTCGTAAGAAGCATTTCAAGGTCCTGGAGTGGCCTAGCCAGTCTCCAGATCTCAACCCCATAGAAAATCTTCGGAGGGAGTTGAAAGTCTGTGTTGACCAGCGACAGCCCCAAAACATCACTGCTCTAGAGGAGATCTGCATGGAGGAATGGGCCAAAATACCAGCAACAGTGTGTGAAAACCTTGTGAAGACTTACAGAAAACGTTTGACCTGTGTCATTGCCAACAAAGGGTATATAACAAAGTATTGAGAAACTTTTGTTATTGACCAAATACTTATTTTCCACCATAATTTGCAAATAAATTCATTAAAAATCCTACAATGTGATTTTCTGGATTTTTTTTTCTCATTTTGTCTGTCATAGTTGACGTGTACCTATGATGAAAATTACAGGCCTCTCTCATCTTTTTAAGTGGGAGAACTTGCACAATTGGTGGCTGACTAAATACTTTTTTTCCCCACTGTATATGACAATATTTTAGGTTGACAATAATTATATTACACAATTTCTGATTTATCACATGCCTTACTTTTATTTTCCTGCATATTTTCCTGCATATTTTCCTCCAGCTTGTTCAATGTAAGGAAGTGTTTCTCTAGTTTACAGGGCGTTACATGTTTCTCCACAGGAAGTGACATACTGCCCACAGCAAATTACATAATCCCTGTCCAGTGAGCTCCACCCACCTTGAGGTTATAGACCTTCTTCTCACATATGGTGCACTGGTGGGGCAGGTGGGATGGCGTTACGGCGTGGTAGTCATTCAGCTGGTGAGGTTGGAGTTGTACGGAACCACCCGTAGACAGGGTCTCTTCTCCCCCCTGCAGGGGCTGCTTGTGGTATCCTACAAACCCCTGGATGCCGCCCATGCCTGCTCCAAACGAGGAAGTAACACCCCCACCGCCGGAATTGAACTTGGGGTCAGAGGTTGGCTCCTCTGGATTGTACAGTTCCTCTCTGGCACGGAATGGCTGCCCAGTCCCCATCCATACTGTGGCAGTATTGGAAACCATGTCTAACCCTTTTCCCGTGTGGCTCATGTTAGCTGGGCTTTTCCACTGCTGCTCCTTAAAAGCGTTCTTGTTCTGATCGTTTTGATTCCCAACACCGAACCCAGCCTGTTGTTGTTGCTGACTCTGATCGTTTTGTCCATAGCTTCCAAAGCTTTGGTTTGTACTCTTGGCCTGAGTCATGATTGGCACGTACTGCCCTTGTCCCTCTCCGGCTTCACTCAACGCCACCGATGTCCCCCCTAGGAAGCCATACTGGAGACGCTTATCCGTATCTAAAGGGTATGTTGATCCGGCTTTCTTGCCGTAGTCTGATCCACCATGCTGGTTGGCCTGTTGCTGCTGCTGTTGGTTCCCTGAAAACCCCCCACCCCCGTAATGGTTCAGCCTCACATTACCATGATTCTGGTTGAACCCAGCCCCTACCATCGTCCCCAGGGCAGAGTTGGGGGGTGGCGGGGGTGGCGGCGGTGGTGGAGGCAGTTGGAAGGCTAGGGCACCGGAGTGGAAACCACCACCAACTGCTTGGGCATTACTGACCATGGCCGAGGCACGGAGCTGGTTGAAGAGGGGCTGGGACATGGCCACATTGGCGAGGACCTGATTGAGGGAGAAGATAGATGAAAAAACATTGGTCTCGAAAACAGCCTAGAGTTATTTGAAAAGTGTGTGAAAATAAAAGTTTACATTTCAGAATAAAAGTCCCATATATGTAAATATAGGCAAACCAACCAACCCTGTTCCATTCCTTACTAGTTTTGTGTGTATTGGGTATATGTTTTGAAATTGTTAGATATTACTTGTTAGATATTACTGCACTGTCGGAGCTAGAAGCACAAGCATTTCGCTACACCCGCTATAACATCTGCTAAACACGTGTATGTGACAAATAAAATGTGATTTGATTTGTTACAGGCCTGATTGAGGAAACTGTATGACACTGTAAGTATGTCAAAATAAAAGCTTGCATTCCAAAATAAAAGTCCTATGTACCGATAAATACAGGCAAACCAATCAATTCTGTAACAGACCTGATTGAGGATGCTGGCTGCGTTTGCGGAGTTTGCGTTGCCCCCCACAGCACTCTGGGCCAGTTTAAGGCGGTGGAAGGTGAGCTGGGCCTGGAGCTGGGCTAGCTGAAGGCTGGCGGGTGTCAGGAGGAGCTGGGCGTTCTGGTGGTTCCCAGCCCCACCACTCAGCTGGCCCTGGCCACCGCCCACTGGCTGGGGCTTGTTATCATTGCCGTCGGACACGCTGGTGCTATAAACAAACAGAGAAAAGTTGGATGAGAAAACGTAAACAACAGTAGCTATAAAACACAGCTTTTAATCAGAGGTTTGGGACCCACTGTTTAAAATCAATAAATAAATACATTATATAGCCTTAATATTTAGCTTCTGTGCCTTCTGTGGAGGAACTACAATGCGTATCAGGATCATAGGCCATTGCATTATAGAGGAACCGGTAGCAGTAACAACTTGTTTCGCACCACGCATGGTTAAAGGAGACCACAGAAGTTTTGTAATCAGCTGTAGACATTAACACTTATCCACATACCCACATAGCCACCACACAACCCCAGACCCTTCGCGGATGCGACCCCGTTTGACTGTGCCCTGTCCTTTCGTGTTCTGATGAATGTGCTCACATGCTGGCTAAACTTAGTATCTTGCACTATCAATCAAATCATCTATAGAACCCCATGACTTGACACAGCCCAACCCGACCAACCAACACCCCCGATCCAACACTCTAGAACTAGAAGGCAAGAGACCAATTGGATTAGGGGTGGGCAAGGTCCCAAGAGAAAGTTATTTTAGACATTGATGGACATGGCAGCCATGTTGTTTTCTCACATACATGAAGGTCTATAGCCCTGCATAAGGGATATTTTGTTTGTGACAAGTAACAACACAGCTTCTTCATAGGGTTAGTGTCTGCTGGGTTCAAATTGTGAAATATGGACAAGAGATAAATATAGATATTTAGATCGTTGTGTTTTTCTTCGGAACTTGGAGAAGCAACTAAATCTTTGTGAGGATTAGCACCCCTTGGTTTGTGTTGCTACTGGCTTGTAGAGTTGTCATATGGTCTTACGGAGAGGTACGTTTCCACATCATAAAGTCATCACGTCAGTGCTGTTGCTAAATTAGACATCAGTTATATTATAGACCACGGAGTGGATTTTGTTATTGAGATTTCACCATTTTAACAACCGATCACATTTTACTGATAGTATGCCATCATTATTCCATAGATTATTCAAATAATGTTTTTCCATAGTATTAGGCTACTGTTTATTTTACAAAATAGTCTAACATCATACACACTTATAGTGCACCTGCAACTACATTTTTTTAGAGACATCTTGATATTAGCATGCTATATTACACACTTCTGATAGTACACATGTCCCTCTGTGACCTAATTCAAACTTGGACAATTAAATGCTATGACTTAACGGTCACATGATGACCTCATATTGACATCATCATACAGTATTACTGTGTATATCATATATCATATCACAATGACTTTGGTCTTACGGTCACATGTTACTGTATTAATGTAGTAATATATGTAGCCATCATTAAAAGTCCTGATTTACGGCCTGCACACTGTAAAACCCCACAAACAACAACTGCCCCGGTTGGCCCTCGTCGTCCTTCTGTTAGCTGAGATTAAAGCGCCAGTAATGTCACAATGATACCCTCTGTCTCTGTCAGACCAGACCAGACTATAGGCCTGTCAGACCAGACCAGACGATAGGCCTAGCTGCCCAGATCAGATTAAGCTGTTTATGTCATGTCACCCAATAAACGGATAAAGACAGTGAGTGTCACGGTATAGGTGGATAAGTAGGTTGTCTTGTGCTAGAGCATAGGACAATATGAGAGGTGATTTATAAATACAGGTTTATAAAGGAAGCAAGGAAGCAAAAAGATTGAACAACAAAATACTTTACAGCATATGGTTGTCTTTCCACAAGATGCTTTGAGCACCAATACCAATATGTACTTTATTTAAAAGCTACATAATAATAATATTCCATTTAGCAGACGCTTTTATCCAAAGCGATTCACAGTCATGCGTGCATAATATATATATTTTTGTGTATGGGTGGTGTGGTCCTGGGGATCGAACCCAAAACCTTCGCGTTACAGGTGCCGTGCTCTACCAGCTGAGCTACAGAGGACCACATAAGTATGTGTTAAACTAGCTCTGTTGGACACTTGGCAGGGCGGTCAGCCCCCTGAGCTGCATGTTGTACACACTCTTATCAGTACAAGCACGCTGATAGATCATATAAACACAGCCGCAGCCGATGACTCGCTGCTAAAAATACTAGTCTCTCATCTGTTCTGACACACAGCCCTTAATAGACAAATATGGCCTCGGCTCTGACTGAGGCAGCTGGCTCTGTGTAGAGCAGACCTGGGTCCAAATAATATTTGTTTCCTTTCAAATACTTTAGTTGCTCTTGATTGAGCTGGCATAATGGGACCAATGGAATAGTCCCAAATGTTCAAACCCCGCCCACCTGGCATTCAAGGCGTAGCTCAATCAAATGGCTAAAGTATTTTAAAAACAGCAAGTACTATTTGAACCTAGGTCTGGCTCGCTGAGTGCTGCTGGCCAGGCCACTTCAGACCTGTTCAGATCTTATAATACGAAACAGATTTCGTAGTAGAGTTATAGATCCATGGCTGCGTCTCAAATGGCACTCTATTTTCTATATACTACTACTTTTTACTATGAGCCCTCTTCAAAAGTAGTGCACTACATAGGGAATAGGGTGCCATTTAAAACACAACCCAGGTGTCAAGTCGTCCCAGACAGTCATTTATTAATTAAAATTAGGTGGTGGGATATTGGAGCGTGATCTGATAAGCCATCATTAGATGCCCCCTGAAGAATGTGTGTGTGTGTGTGTCTGTCATACAACCATTGATAAATTCAAACCAGGTGATAGGGGTATTGGAGCGTGATCTAATAATACATCATTAGACAGGCCTTTACACCAATCAGCGATGGATTCAGTGTATATTACACTGACTGATGACAATAGGAATGTCACACTGTGAATTTCTCTGGAGCGATCCTCAGCTGAAGATGACTCTCTACATATGGTAAGTTGCTCTTATACCCGAGTAACTAAGTAATTGCATTATAATTGAGTTAAACATGTTATTTTTTTATTACAGAGGAATAAACACTTGCTTTTAAAAAACGCTGAGTCCACTGTTGTTTCGCTAATGATCTTGTAACTAACTAGGCTATTAGGCCCAAATGCTTGTCTGGGGTCCTACTGTGTGTCTGCTGTCTGCTGGGATCTCTTACCATGTCATAAATGCTGGACCCAGTCTCCTATAAGCCAGAAAAAGACTCTCGCACACACAGGGTGACGTCATCGCTGCCTTAGCTTATGTCGCCACGGTTCAACAAGCTCATCCTTGAGTGTATAGTTGGAGGTGTTCGGTTTTAGAAACACAATAGCAACGTAGGGAGCGAGCTATTATTTTCTAAATGTACATACCGGTATGGCTATTTGCACACCAACTAAAATAGAATTAGGATCTCATAAATCACTATATCTAGACAACATTATGAATAAATATAATACAGAAATACATTACAAATACAAATTATTGATCATCCAAAACAATCTTAGCAATATACAATCCTATACATATAATTAAATCAAATTAGACTAGTCTTAACTGTGGTATTTGTCATGTTCTCGTGTGAAACTATTTCATGCTCCTGTTTTTAATAGTGTAACAATGTGGACGGGACGGTGTTGTGCTGTGGGTAGGGCCGCATGCTTCATAATTCATTAGTAGAAGTTATTATAAACAGGTAAGGGCGGAGAGCTCACTGGCATTGTTATGCTGCATATAGGTGTTGGATCTTAATTTCACCAGTATTGTCACAGCAAAATAATCCTTAGTCCGTAATGTTGCTTGATCGGTGGTTAGGCTATTAGCTGGCCAAGATTAGGCTACATGAAAACTGCAATACTGTTAATATAACCAACCGCGTGTTAGTGTGAGTTTTCAGTGAATTTATGTCAATCATGAAGCTCATCTGCATTTTCTGAGGTGCATGAAAATTCTCAGCAACAAAAAAATGATCAAATTAATATCCTACATCTGTATGTATATGGTCATATGTGATAATGTAAGGATTAGCCTACCTAAATAGTATTTAATGTAAGGCCTGCTTAAATAGTATTTCATGTAACTATTTACTGGTTAGGTCAAATTGCCTCAAATATACATGATAAGTTATAATATGTAAATGTTGGAAATGTAGTTCATATAAGCAGTCATCTGAAGAAACAGGATACTAATCATGTTAATGATGTCAAATTACCCTAAAGTGTATGCGTTCAAAAACAAAAATATAGTCACTATTTTGTTATTAATTTGAATAGGATTGTATTACATTTACGTCATTTAGCAGACGGTCTTATCCAGAGCGACTTACAGTTAGTGAGTGCATACATTTTTTTCATACTGGCCCCCTGTGGGAATCAAACCCACAACCCTGGCGTTGCAAGCGCCATGCTCTACCAACTGAGCTACAGGAGGCCCTGAGAGAGACCACATTGAAGACTAACTTTTACTAACAGAAAACAGTTAAGCTAATAATAATTTATCAGCACATTTTCCATTTACACATTTTATTTCATAGAAAATGTGCAGTAATTGAAATAAATGAATGATAGACATATTTGTATTTGTGCTGCTACTTGGACAAAAATATTATACATTTTATAGAGTTTATATACAAGTATATGTTTAAATTATGTATTTTATTTAAGTATATGTCCACATTTGTTAACTTATACTTAAGTTATTATTGTATACACTGAGTGCTTCAAAACATTATGAACACCTGCTCTTTCCATGTTCCCTGTGGAACGCTTTGGACACCTTGTAGAGTCCATGCCTGGACCAATGGAGGCTGTTCTGAGGGCAAAAGGGAGGGGGTGCAACTCAATATTAGGAAGGTGTTCTTAATGTTTTCTACACTCAGTGTATGTTATAAGTATAACTATAAGTACATTATAAGGATATGTTTTGGCCAAAGCATGCTAGGAGCAAGGGCATTCACATTGGTTTCCCACACACACTGTTGGGTTCTACTTAATTCAATAACTTACATTTACACAAGGAACAGTTTATCTATTATGAAACAACAATTATTTTAATGTATTTATTTATTATGAAACACTAATTATTTGTCCAAACAA